AAAAGACCCTGGTCTGGACCAGGTGTACCTTAGTCCTAACACTAACATCATTGCTCCTCAATAATTTGGAGAGATCCCTAAACATAATATTTCCCAATACAGTGTGACTCCCAATCTCTTGACTGCTGGTGCCAAAAGTATTGATTATGAATCCAAGTAAGAGGAAATTGCTGACAGTTTCAGTACTTTCTCCATCTATCTTGATGTTGCCTATCAGCCCAAAGGCAAGCACTTTGTTTTCTTGACATTAAGATTTAATTGATAGTGAAGGTTGTAATCTTCACAGAAGCAAGGCTGTGTCATCTGCCTAGCAAAGGTTATTAATGAGTCTTTTTCCATTCCTGATTCCACATTTTTTTATAGAGTCCAGCTTCTTGAATAATCTGCTCAGAATATACACTAAGTAGGTATGGAGAAAGGATAAAATCCTGACCCACACCTTCCCTAAATTTAAACCATGCAGTGGTCCTTTGATCTGTTCACACAACAGTTTCTTGACCTAGGTATAGGTTTTTCCTGGGCACAATTAAGTGTTCTGGAATTCCAATTCTTTTTAATATTAGCCTTAGCTTCTTTGATGTTTTGTTTTGTTGTTGTTTTTTTACCTTGGCACTGACTGGCACAGGAGGAGATTTCCCCTCCTTCTCCAGCAGAGCATCTAGTGGATTCAAACCATGTGTCTTCAGGATTGCAGTGTAGCTTCTTGCCACCAGAGCAACCTAACCCAAGTTATTAGTGAGATGCAAATCAAAACAACAATGAGATATCATCTCACCCGAGCACCAAGAGTAAAATTCAACAGGACAACAAATAGCAAAGAATAGAAAGGATGGGGAGAGATTAGAAATCTCGTGCACTGCTGATGGGAATGTGAGACAGTACAATAACCACTAAGGAAGGTAGGCTGATGCTTCCTAAAAATGATGGGAATTACAGCAAAAAACAAATGCTGGAGAGGTTGTGGAGAAACTGGAACCCTTATTCACTGCTGATGAGAGTGTAAAATGGTGCAACCACTCTGGAAGGCAGTTTGGCACTTTCTCAAAAAAGAAAATAGAAATATCATCTGACCCAGCAATTCCACTACTGGGAATATACTTAAAAAAAAAAAAAAACAACTAAGCAGATACATGCACACTTATGTTTATTGCTGCTTTGTTTACAATAGCAAAAAGTTGGAAACAACCCAAGTGCCCATTAATAAATAAATGGATAGAGAAGTTGTGTTATATTCACACAATGGAATACTATGCAGCATTGGAAAAACAAGGAACTCATGAAATATTATACAAAATGAATGGCCCTAGACTACATTATGCTGAATGAAATGTCTCAGTCACAAAAGGACAGATACTGTAAAGACTGCTGTTGTAAATGCAATGTATGGAAATGATTGCATGAAACACATTGTGAATTGATGGAATGTGTGAAAAACATGTATATGAATGAAGCACAATGTATATGAATGACATACAATGTATATTAATTTTGTGTGAAAACCAACATAAAATTTTAAAAATATGTAAAAGAAGAAAGGAAAAAATCCCCAAACACACCCTACCCCCCAAAATAAGATAGATATAAGGATTGGGAGGCAGACGTGAGAAAACAGGAAAAGTGTGGCTAAATAATGAACACTGCACTTGAATAGGTGGAGGATTAGACATTATATGTATGACAGTTAACAATCTGGACAAGATACACATTGTTGTAGTTATGTGTCATCAAGTCACCTGTGACTCAAAAAGACCTTATGTTCAACAGCTCTGACACCAGTCCTGTCCTGAGCCAGTCTGACTCTGACCTACACTCATGGCGCTAGTGACTGAGTCAATCCATCTCATCCATTCATGGTCTTCCTCTCCTGCGCTGTCCCTCCACCTTTATGAGCAAGATGTCCTTCTCCAAGAACCGGTCCCTCCTGGTCATGGGCCCAAAGTATGTGAGATGGAGCTTCAAAATCCTCGCCTCCAAGGAAAGACTTGGTTTCACCCTCTCCAAGACAGACCTATTTGTTCTCTTGCCAGTCTATGGTATATTCAAGACTCTTCTCCAGCACCACAACTCAAAGGCATCAATCCTTCTTCTGTCATCCTTAGTCATTGTCTGGCTCTCTAAACAATGGCCTAAATCAGGCACATCTTAGTCTCTAGACTGACATCATTGCTTCCAGTACTCTGGCGAAGTCCCTGACAGGAGATTTACATAATGCAATCCATTTATTGATTTTCTGACTGCTCGTGCCAAGTGTGTTGATTGTGCAGTTGAGCAAGTTGTAACTGTTACCAACCTAAAATTTCTTCATCATGGTGCTGGCAATTAGCCCAGCGGTGAGAATCTTTGTTTTCTTAATGTTGAGCTTCAATCCATACTGAAGACTATAGTCCTTGACATTCTTCAGCAGGTGCTTCAGGTCCTCCTCAGTTTCAGCAAGCAAGGTTGTGTCATCTGCATAATGTAGGTGGTTGACGAGTCATCATCCAATCCTGATGCCACATTCCTCCTCATAAAGCCCAGCGTCCCAAATTATCTGTTCTGCATATAGATTGAAAAGGTATGGAGACAGGATGCATCCTTGACAACACTCCCTTCCTGATTTTTGAATCATACAGTTTTCTCCTGCTCTGTTCTGAGGACTGTGTCATGGTCCAAGTATAGGTTTTGCATAAGCACAATCAAGTGTTCTAGTGTTCCCATTCTCCTCAAGGTTAACCACAATTTGTTATGATCCACACAGTCAAAAGCTTTTGTATAGTTAATGAAACACAGATAGATATCCCTAGGAAGGGAAGGGGGAGGAAGGAAAATGCATATTGGAGAATAAATGGAAATTTAACCTTTATAAACTTTT